GATCTAGGTTAACATTAACAAAGGACTAACTCCCTGAGTATTATACAACATGAGAGAAGTTCACGACCGGGTCCTCACCTTAGCCTTTCTCGATGTCACAGATCCAGATCCAAAAGTAGACGAACGTAGCAACACAACCACAGATCTGTACTTTCACGCTCAAGAGAAGATGGAAGAAGGGATTAGGAACCAGATCCGTCACACCCAGTGACAAACCATGGAGATGAAGAAAGGAAAACACAAGATCTGAGGCTTACCTTACAAATCTAACTAACAAGGAGANGATGGAAGAAGGGATTAGGAACCAGATCCGTCACACCCAGTGACAAACCATGGAGATGAAGAAAGGAAAACACAAGATCTGAGGCTTACCTTACAAATCTAACTAACAAGGAGAATGATGAAGAAGAAGAGGGAAAATCGGCGGTGGTGACTAATTGGAGATGGCGGCCGGCGACTGGAGCTAGGGTTAAGGCGACTTGAGTCTTGACGGCTGACGGCTCGGGATCTCTGCAGAGCTTCGCTTGTATTCTCTCTGCAGAGAAAATGAGGAGGAGGCAGCTCTTTAAATAGGAGAAGGGATGTAAACCCTAGGTTTTAATCCTTAATGGGCTGTAGACATGCCCATTTACCTTGTGCAAATTTTGGGCCGATAACGGGTTATTACAATCTCCCCCACTTAATAGAATTCGTCCCTGAATTCTGCGTGTCAGCACTCAAACCACAAACTTCCAAACCAACGTGGGTATGTTGCATCACTTGCTCACTAAACTTGCGGAGGTCCCTCATCATTTTGTATCCCATCCACCCTTCTCAGTCAACATTTCCTTGTGGTTCACAAACTCACCCATACTCTGCTTATAGTTATGGTTAGACGTATTCTTGCTGTTGGCTTTAGAATGTCTTCTAAAGTACTTCTACCCTCATTTACTCGCCCCACATGTGGTGTCATCGCGAAATCAAAACATTTGTTGTGGTGTGCTACTGGCTTGCCACCACGCCTCCGCTGCACTATTCTGATTTTTCTTGCTCCCCCTATGTCTCCATGTTTTGTTTTGGTCCAGGCATCCCCATCTCTGGATTCCACCATCCAAAGGTGTCTCTTGGCACAACCTGGCGGCAGCATTGTGTTCCTTCTAGCCCATATCGAGCTATTTCACTTGCTTGTGGCATAAGTTCTCTCCAGCCTTGTCCTTAGCTCTCCCCCACTTCGATCAAGCGTACATGGTTCCTAAACAACCTCCTCTACATTCCTTGTACTCGTATCTCCATATGTGCAGCGGATTGCAGGATTGTGTCAGTACTCATCGGTGATATTGTAACTTAGGGACTTGTCTTAAAATCCTGTCCTCTTACACTAACATAGCTCACGTGTGTATGCTCTCTTACACTTCCAATTGCGTCTTGTTTATATTTCCAACGGTGTTCCAGGCGATATCGTAGCCTCTTGTTCCATTAAGGATAATATTTTTCTCCTATAAAGGAAGTTAGATTCATGCTTTTGCGTAATCCATTAAGACTCGTCATCTCTGTCTCTAAGACTTCCTCATCATCGACACGTCTCTAGACTCCCATAGTGTCATTCACTCTAGCACAATTGTCTCGACGCTTGTAGTCTCTGGTTTTGACAACTTTTTAAAGATTCAACAACTTAATAACTTAGACCCCCAAACTATAGGTTTCTCTAGGGGAACAAGGGAACTTACTCCTCCCTTCCTCTACTGATCCCGAATAGCACACTAGGACTACACTACTAGACTTAGGTGCACGTTACTTCCACTAATCATTTGTTTGCAAGAAGTTATGCATAAAAACATACCGTGATCATCTCAGCATTGATGATCCCTAGCAACAAAGATCCTCGGCTCTCGTGCTTGCCTCTTAGGTGGTGGTGGTAATGTACCATCTGCTACACTTGTCTTATGAACTCCACAATCCTTTGCTATGTGACCTTGACGTTTGCAGCGAAAACATCTACTATCCGATTGTTGTTTAAGCGGGCAATTCATCTTAAGGTGTCCCAACTGCTTGCACCGAAAACACACCCCATGCCAACATTCGTCCAGGTGCTTTTTTCCACACCTTTCACATAGTTGTTTAGGTGGAACCACGGTTTCTTCAATTGAGATTTCCCAAGTCCTCTTCACAGTTCTCGCATTCACTCTCTTAGCTTGCTTACGTTCTTCTTCCATCCCGGCTTCCTGTTCCGATGCTTTTTCGATCAGCTCGTTTATGTTCTGGTATTCTCGGACGTTGCAACTATTCTTAAGCTCGATCTTCATACCTTTTAGGAATCTTTGTACCAGTTCTCGCTTTTCCATGTGATGCCCCGCAAACCTTCTCAGCCTGTTAAACTCTTCGCCAAACTCTCTCACACTTCGGGTTCCTTGTTTTATATCCTGGAACTGGCCCTCCATTCGGTCAAGGGCTTCCCGTGGAAAGTACTTCTTGTTAAATTCTTTGAGGAAGAACGTCCATGTCAGATCGTGATGTCCTTGCGCGTCTTCCACTATGCCTTCCCACCACACTAGGGCATCATCCTTTGAATGATGGACAGCTCTATCTTTGCGAAACTCCGTTGGGCACCTTGTTGAGTCAAAGTTTCTGACCAACTGCCTCCTCCAATTATCAGCTTCAACTGCATCTGCCTTTCCGCTGAAGAGTTCCGTCTGCATGTTCTTCATGTGTTTCATCATGTCCGAATACGAGGGTCCTTCTCCTTGCACTCCCACATGCAGTGGTGGAGGTGGATGTTTCACGGTGTTTCCCGTTGGCAGTTGTGAAGCTCCAACTTCTATCGGACCATCATTCCTTGGCGTTCGCCCTTGGTAGACCTCTCGGTACATCTGCAACTCCTCCAAAACTGCAACATCCACCACCACTTGACCCTTCTTTGGAACCCCTCTTGATGTGTCTCTCAACTCTGGCTCTGTATCGATACAGCTTCCACTCAAACTTATAGCACATGATTTAGTCTTAGTGGCACGCTGATCTGTTCTTTGAGTGGTGGTCATTCCCAATGTAACCTTGGTATTCTTTGGTGGCATCCTGATACAACAACTGGCGTGTCAGATTCTTGTCGCAAAAGAGTTCACTAAACTCGTCAAGTAAGCGAGGAGCTTCGGTCCGAATGGTGCCTTTATATTAATCTTTTGAAAAAACCCCATTTAGTAAAATGTTTGAAAACGCTTTTGAAACCCATATGTAAACACTTACAATCTACACCTACCCACTCGGGACAGCACCGGATGAGTTTAACTCCGCTCTGATACCAATTGTAACAACCCTGTCCCTAGGATCCTAATTTCAACCATGACAACACTTCTCTTAAATCCAATACTTCCTTTATTTCAATCTTAATCGTCTTACAAGTAACTAAATTCAATGAAAACCAAATAACATAACAATAGTTTAAGAAAACGTAGTGAAAACCCTTAAAACGAAACTGAAATAGATGGCACCATTCCGAATTTTACTCTTGCACCTCCTCGATCATACCTGCAAGAAAGAGGGTGAGTAATTTGGATTACTCAGTGAGGGTAGGTTCTTGGAACCCACAAACTCATCTCAGATCACATAACACATCAAGCACAAGTCATAAGTTAATATCACCTAGCATTCATCTAACAAGATTCTCTAAACTCTCTAATCCACAAGTTCTCAAGCTAATCACTATACACCTCATGACCTTACACGACTTCACCATTCTATGCCAAACCGGCACTTTCCAAACCGGCACGCCAAACCGGCACTCGCCAAACCGGCACTCGCCAAACCGGCACATGCCAAACCGGCACTCGCCAAACCGGCATGCCAAACTGGCACTTCGTCACACTACGACACAACCCCATATCTCATCGACAACATCATAAAGACCTATCTCATCAACATTCAATCTTAACCAGATTCATTATTATCACACAACCGGTTATTCTTTAACATCATATTATTTTCTAGGTTCTTTAACTCACATCATCAATCAACACACTTTTCATTACATCATCACAAACTAACAACTAGATCAAGGTTAACATTAACAAAGGACTAACTCCCTGAGTATTATACAACATGAGAGAAGTTCACGACCGGGTCCTCACCTTACCCTTTCTCGATGTCACAGATCCAGATCCAAAAGTAGACGAACGTAGCAACACAACCACAGATCTGTACTTTCACGCTCAAGAGAAGATGGAAGAAGGGATTAGGAACCAGATCCGTCACACCCAGTGACAAACCATGGAGATGAAGAAAGGAAAACACAAGATCTGAGGCTTACCTTACAAATCTAACTAACAAGGAGANGATGGAAGAAGGGATTAGGAACCAGATCCGTCACACCCAGTGACAAACCATGGAGATGAAGAAAGGAAAACACAAGATCTGAGGCTTACCTTACAAATCTAACTAACAAGGAGAATGATGAAGAAGAAGAGGGAAAATCGGCGGTGGTGACTAATTGGAGATGGCGGCCGGCGACTGGAGCTAGGGTTAAGGCGACTTGGGTCTTGACGGCTGACGGCTCGGGATCTCTGCAGAGCTTCGCTTATATTCTCTCTGCAGAGAAAATGAGGAGGCAGCTCTTTAAATAGGAGAAGGGATGTAAACCCTAGGTTTTAATCCTTAATGGGCTGTAGACAGACCCATTTACCTTGTGAAAATTTTGGGCCGGTAACGGGGTGTTACAGCATGCATGGATGTTTTTTTTTTCAGTTACGAATTGATGTGGTCAGTGGCGAACCTACATTCACCAAGAAGGAGGCAGTTGCCCCACAAAAATCTATAAATAAATGTATTTACATAAGAAACAACAGACTTTTTGTAGCATAATGGTTTCTGTCCTTTACTTGCCCCCACTTAAACCACAGTTCGAATCCCTTCTAACACACATATTTTTCTTTTTATGTATTTATGTCCCCATAAAAAATTTACCCTAGATTCGCCACTGATGTGGTGCATAAACTTAAGGTCGCATTATATTATATAGGTAATAATCATACTGTATGTTTAATATGGACAGTGTAAAGATTCAGAAAATTCAGCTCTTTCGAGATCATCTGGCAGTATTCGAGCGTGAACAGGGACTGCACAAGATAACAGTTCATAGGCTTCCCGCTGAGGGGGAGCCTCTGAACTGTCTTGAAGCTGTTCGTAGTGTTAGCTTTATTGATCCGGTCTACTCAGTTGACTCAACAGAGTCTGAATTTTCGTCCAGTGTTTTAAGGTTCCGCTACAGCTCGTTGAAGACACCTCCCTCTGTTTATGACTATGACATGGATAGTGACACTTCCGTTGTCAAGAAGATTGATACAGTAAGTAAACTACTTAGTCTTTGGATCAAACTCCTATGCACTCTGCACATAGCGTATTTTTCTTTTTGGCTGCTTTTTTGCTTTTACAATTTTTTTTTGTTTTATCCGTATATAAGCTGCCTTATTTTTAAACATGGTCATGGCTTGATCTTCATTATAACCTGCTGTATTTTTACAGGTACTGGGAGGTTTTGATGCGTCGAACTATGTTACAGAAAGGAAATGGGTCACTGCAGCTGACGGAACTCAAATTCCAATGTCTATTGTTTATAACAAAAACCTTGCAAAGCTCGATGGGTCTGATCCATGTCTGCTATATGGATATGGTTCATACGAGGTACTTTTAGCTGAGTCTTTTATGGTCCTTTCACTAAATATTTGTGTGCTAAGCTATTAAAAACTCTGTCGTTACAGATTTCTGTGAGTCCATATTTCAAGGCATCAAGGTTATCCTTGTTAGACCGTGGTTTTATCTACGTAATTGCACATGTTCGTGGGGGTGGTGAAATGGGGAGACAGTGGTACGAGAACGGGAAGCTGTTGAAAAATAAAAACACGTTCACTGATTTTATTGCTTGTGCGGAAGCTTTAATAGAACTTAAGTATTGCTCAAAGGAAAAGCTGTGTGTCGAAGGGAGAAGTGCTGGTGGCCTGCTGATGGGTGCTGTTCTTAACATGAGGCCTGACTTATTCAAGGTGGTTGTCGCCGGAGTTCCTTTTGTAGATGCTTTGACAACTATGCTGGACCCAACTATTTCGCTTACGACATCAGAATGGGAGGTGGGGTTTGATACTTATTCAATGCCTTATAACATGGAATAAAATAGTTCTTTACTTACATGTGTCATGGTTGGTTTCTAATCATTGTAGGAGTGGGGTGACCCCATGAAGGAAGAATATTACTTCTATATGAAGTCATATTCACCTGTTGTCAATGTGAGTATATTACCTCTTTTTGGTTATTATATGCAATAAATAGACATGGAAGGTCTCTGCGATGATGCATTTATTCCAATATAACAGGTTACAACGTAGAATTATCCAAATATTCTTGTAAATGCTGGGTTAAATGGTAAGCCTTGATTTGTCTAGTTACAGTATGGAATCAAATTTGCTTCTGAATTCGGTTAAAACAGGCTTGAATGATAGTTTCTGACTTGCTGATGTTTTTGTAACTGTTAACAGATCCAAGGGTCATGTACTCTGAACCAGCTCAGTTCGTGGCTAAACTGAGAGAAATGAAGACTGACAACTTACTTTTATTCAAATGTGAGCTTGGTGCTGGACATTTCTCCAAATCTGGGAGGTACGAACGAACGAAGTCCATTTGTCTCTCAATATTAAAAATCTCATCCTTTTGTAAACGAAGGCTGTTTTTTAGGAAAAAACGCACCGTTTTGCTCTGGCGAAAAATTAGGCAAAAAAGTGCGATTTGGGGATTTCGGTTCGAAAGTGATGGTTACGGTGGTTCCACCGGATCTACCTACCTCTCCGGTGAGCGTAGATACTTCTAAGGTGGAGACACATGATTCCGATCATGGAGGCGGTAAAGTTTCTGGGTTTGTTCAAGGTGAAAGTTCTGGTTCGGTTTCTAATAAAGCGGGTGATATGGATTTGGACATTGGGAAAGGCGATTTGGGTATAACGAAGGATTCGAGTGATGGGATGTTGAAGAGAGACAACTCAAGTTGGGTCTCGAAGGTTAAGGATAAGAGGGTTCTGAAAAAGTATGAGGTTGAAGTTACTTCGATTGATGGTAAAAATAAGGTGTCGATTCCAGATGATATTCTCTCTGATTCAACACCATATGGGAAGACTTTGTGGTTGGGAAATTTCTAGATCTGGCGCCTCATATTGCTAAAGTACATATGGTAGTGAACAAGATTTGGAGTTATGGTGATCCAAGCTCTAAGGTGGAGGTATATGATGTGAATCCTATGACGATGAGATTTAAGATCACAAATCCGAAAGCTCGAGAAAAGATCATCAAACGAGAGATGTGGAATATTGCTGGAGTTCCAATGGTGGTGAAGAAGTGGACTCCGACGTCAGAAGTGGAGAAACAGGAGGAGGAGTCGATTCCGATGTGGGTGCATTTGAGGAAGATTCCAAGTAACACATTCACATGGGAGGCTTTAAGCTTTATGACAAGTGCAGTGGGATTTTCGGTGCGTCTTCATCCAGAAATGATTTAGTGTTCAGATTTTGAAGAAGCAAAAGTTTTTGTCAATGTTGATGCTTCAAAATTTTTGCCTAAGGAGATTGATTTCACATTGGGTGGTAAGGAATTCACTGCGGAATTTTATTATCCATGGTTGCCTTCCAGGTGTAATACTTGTGGCAAATGGGGACATAAAGAGAAGGTTTCTGCGATGGAAAAGAGGAGTAATAAACGGGTTGTGAGTGAGGAAATGAAGGAGGCTCGAAGTGATATTGGTGAGGAGGTTAATAAGCAAATAGAAAGAAGTGTAGTCAGAGAGGGGGAAGAGAATCATGACAAAGTAGTTGGAGTTTTGGAGAAAAGTCCTACTACGGCATTGGTTAGTGAAGAGGAAGAGATTACCAAGATTGAGGATCACGAGAAAGATTGATCATGGGTGGCTTTAGATAAAATTGGTAGAGCAACAAAAACTCCACCAAGAGAGGGGAATGAAGTTCAAATCTCTGCATCTAAATTCTCGGTTCTTGCAGTTGATGAAATGGATGAGGATGAACCTGGAGAAATAAAAGACACAGATGAAGAAGAGGAGGAGAATGAAGATGTGGTTAAATCTGCTAGACTGGAAAGTGATATGTTGGAGGATGAGATATTGGATCAGAAAGATAAGGAAAAATATAAAGCGATGTCGCAAAAAGGTGGAAAGAGAGGTCAGAAGGCCAAAGCTCAAGAGGTTCAACCAAAGAGCAAAAGGCCTTCTCGACGTAAACTCTAAATATGGCAGGTTTCTTCTGGAATGTTCGTGGTTTCAACAAAAATTTAAAACATTCCATAGTTACTGAGTGGGTTAAAGATAGAGATATGAGTTTTGGTTGCATTCTGGAAACGAGAGTAAAGGAATGTAAAGATGAGAAGATATTGAAGAAGGTGATTAGTGATTGGTCTTCAATCACAAATTATGAAGATAGTAAAGGGGGAAGGATTTGGTTTATTTGGAGAGAGCAAATTCGAGTGCTGCCTGTTTATAAATCAGATCAGATTGTTACTTGTTTGGTGGAATTTAAAGGAGAAGAAGGTTTTTATTGTTCGTGTATTTATGCAAGTAATCAAGTTGAAAGAAGGAAAAGTCTTTGGGAGGATCTGGTGTTTCACCACAACTCTCCTTGTTTTAAGAATAAAGCTTGGATGATTATGGGAGATTTCAACGAGATTCTTGATGGGGTTGAGAGTTCGAGATTTGATAGTATGAGTAGAATTCCACCGGGAATGAGGGATTTTCAAAATGTGGTATTGCATTGTCACCTTACTGATATGGCATATCAAGGTCCTTTGTTCACCTGGTGCAATAAGAGGGAGGAATGAGTTATTTGTAAGAAGTTAGATAGAGTGTTGCTAAATGATGTGGCTCTTTATAAGTTTAGTAATGCTTATTCTGTGTTTGAGCCGGGTGGATGTTCCGATCATCTGAGGTGCAAAGTTCAGCTTATTCCCCCACGTGAGAAGATAAAAAGACCCTTCAATTATATAAATGCTCTTGGTACTCTACCGTCCTTTCTTCCAATGATTCAAAGGTACTGGAATAATACAGAGACTTAATTCCACTCCATTTCTGCTATGTTCAAATTTTCGAAGAAACTAAAATTCCTCAAGCCTTTGATTCGTGAATTGGGGAAAAGACAAGCTGGGAAATTTATCTAAGAGAACCAAGGAGACTTTTGATGTTCTTTGTGCAAAGCAGAGAATCACGTTAGCAAACCCAACAGATGGTGCAGTTCATGACGAGGCTGAAGCGTATGGTAAATGGCTGCACGTTGCTACTTTGGAGGAAGATTTCTTAAAAAAGAGAGCCAGGTTACATTGGTTGGATGTTGGGGATCATAATAACAAGACTTTCCACAGGGCTATTAAGACTCGACAAGCTCAAAATTTGATAAGGGAAATAAGATGTGGGGATGGAAGAGTGGTGACTGACCATTCGGAGATCAAGATGAAAACTGTTAAATTTTTCTCTGATTTTCTTAATCATGAGCCTGAGAACTATAAGGGAGTTTCAGTGGAGGAGATGCAGGATATTCTTAAGTTTCGTTGCTCTTTGGAAGATTGTAGAAGTCTGGTGGATGATGTTTCTGAAGAAGAGATTCGATGTGTCCTCTTTAAAATGGCAAATAACAAGTCACCTGGGCCAGATGGATTTCCTTGTGAGTTTTTTAAAACAACTTGGTCGGTTATCTCTCATGATTTCATCGTAGCTGTTCAATCAGTCTTCAAGTTTGGTTTCTTGCCTAAGGGAGTTAATTCCACGATTCTCGCGTTAATTCCCAAGAAGCTGGACTCAATGGAGATAAAAGACTATCGCCCTATTTCATGTTGCAATGTGCTCTACAAGGTTGTCTCGAAGATACTCGCAAATAGGTTGAAGAAATTACTTCCAAGGATTATTACAGAAACTCAATCTGCTTTTATTCAGGGGAGGCTTCTTATGGAGAATGTGCTCCTTGCTTCTGAGCTTGTTAAAGGGTATCACAAGGACACAGTCTCTCCTAGATGTCTTATGAAGATAGACATATCAAAAGCCTTTGATTCTGTTCAGTGGGATTTTGTTTTGACAAGCCTGAGAGTGATGGGTTTCCCGGAGAAATTTGTGCATTGGATTCATCTTTGTATCTCTACTCCATCTTTCTCTGTTCAAGTTAACGGGGATCTTGCTGGGTATTTTCAGAGCTCAAGAGGTCTTCGTCAAGGTTGCTCCTTGTCTCCCTACTTATTTGTTCTGTGCATGAACGTTTTATCCTTGAAGTTAGATAAAGCAGCAGCTGAGAAGAAATTCATGTATCATCCTGGTTGTAAAAAGATGTTCATTACTCATCTTTGCTTCGCCGATGACTTAATGATTTTTGTTGAGGGTTCAAAGAAGTCTGTTGAAGGAGCTCTATCTGTATTTGAAGAATTTGAACTCTGGTCAGGTTTGCGTAAAAGCTTAGAGAAATCTTCGATTTATATGGCAGGGGTGACTGATACGGTGAAGAGTAGTATCTTAACAAACTTTCCCTTTTCGGCTGGTGATCTCCCGGTAAGATATTTAGGTCTGCCTCTTATGACTTAGGTAATGAAGAAACAAGACTGCATCCCTCTTGTGGAGAAGATTAGAAGTAAAATCTGTTCCTGGACCTGTAGATTTCTGTCGTTTGCAGGAAGACTTCAGCTCATCAATTCAGTTTTGCTGATTATTGTTAATTTTTGGGCTTCAGTGTTTCGTCTCCTGGGAGCTTGTGTTAAGGAAGAAGAGCAAATCTGTGCTGCTTTCCTTTGGACTGGTCCAGCACTAAAAACCACTTGTGCTAAAGTTGCGTGGAAGGATGTTTGCTCTTTAAAGAGTGAAGGGGGTCTTGGTATAAGAGATTTGAAAGAAGTAAATATGGTGTATGGTCTCAAGTTGATATGGAGAATGTTAACGGGAGACTCGTTGTGGGGTAAGTGGATTAAAGAAAGTTTTCTGAAAGAGAAAAGTTTTTGGGATAATAGCTTGAACTTGGAAAATGGAGCTTGGATGTGGCGAAAGATGTTAAAACTGAGGGAGGTCGCAAAGATTTTCTATATGAAAGAGGTAGGCAATGGAAGGCATATCTCTTTCTGGTTTGATAAATGGTCAGTAAAAGGGATTCTTTTTGAGCTTCTGGGGGCTCGTGGCATTATTGATTTGGGTGTAAGGAAAAATGCGACACTGGAAGAAGCTGTTCTGAATGCTAGAAGGAGAAGGAAACATCGGCTAACTATTCTGAATGAGATAGAAGCTGAGTTGGATGTTATTATGGGAGTTCTTAATCCTGTAAATGAGGATATTAATCTTTGGAAGAGGAGGTCAGGTTTTAAACAGGGTTTTTTGAATTTTGAAACATGGTTACTGATTAGAGAGAGTAAGGCTCACTGTTCTTGGGCAAATAGTATTTGGCTATCATGGCATGGCTATCTATCAAAGATAGAATGTCGACTTTGGATAGGATTGCAAGTTGGAATCATGAGATTAATGCTACTTGCCTTCTTTTCAGAGGAGATACTGAATCGAGAAATCATTTATTTTTTGAGTGTGAGTATTCTGCAAAGGTCTGGGAGTATATTGCTAAAGGAATTTTGAGAACAGCATATACCAACGTTTGGCCAGAGATCATGTCTCATATCACAGACAAGAGAAGAGAGAAGATGAGTTTATTTTGTCTTCGCTATGCGTTCCAAGGTGTTCTATATGCGATATGGAGGGAACGTAATAAGATTATGCATGGTGACAAGTTAATGCCATTGCCAGTGTTATGCAGGACTATTGAAAAAGGTATTAGAAACAAGATCACGTTGGTTGGAAGG